TTTTGCCTTTCCCTTCCCGAGGCAACGCGGGACTGGAGCCGCGCGGAGCTGCGCCAGCGGTAACAACTCCTGACAGCCCCAGCCGGATACCTCAGCGGAGCCCGGGCGGTGCGAGCCTCGTTTCCTTGGGAGCTGGGAGAAGCCTGGCTGCTCCTTTCAGCTTCACGGGATTCGTTTCCACAGTAGACAAAAGTGCCTCAAAAAAAAAAAAAGTGCAAAAGTGGAAGGCGTGCGGAAGAGGGGGCGAGTATATAACAAACTATATTTTGAGTGGAAATGTTGGGGGGTCGTCTTATACGCCGGGTCGTCTTATATGCCGGCATATACGGTACATGCATTTATGGGTACACATAAAATTAAAGCTTATCTTGGGGAAGATATGAAGAAGCTACTAAGGGAGACTTGGAGAAAAGATTACACAGTTCAGAGATGGAAGGAAACATGAGAAACTCAAAATAACCCAATTTAATTTTGTTGAATATGATTGGGTAGAGATAGATTTGCAAGATGCCTTACAACTGCGATGAAGCATTCCTGGAACCCTTATGGTGTCTACTTGACGGCTTATTTTGGAGGACTGACGTATACACCCTAATTATAAACTCTAAATGACTTACAATGTGATAATACCCAAATGCAAGTCAGGATACTAATTATCACCTATATAAGTAGCTCTTAGCTTACAACCTTAACTGAGCTTGAAATTAGAGTTGTAAATTGTGTTGGTTGTTAAGCAATTCATGTGACATCTGATTTTACAGCCTTTTTGTGGCAGTTGTTAAGCGTATGTGGTGATTGTAAAGTGAACACTGGTTGCTAAGTAAATTCATTGTCTGCAAATATAAATATGGTCACGTGAAAAACTAAAATTACTGTAAATTACTGCTAGACACATCCAAAATATAATCCCAAGATGGGAGAGGTATGGCTGTTGAAATTTCAAACCTGGATCGTAAGTTAGCCTGGGGAGATCTGTCATAACTTTGAACAATTGATAAATGACAGTCAAAGACTACTTGTAAAACCTGTCATGGGATAGGATTGGCTTGTTTGTGAAATGACCTTGTTGCGTCTGCTTGTTTCATAAGGTCCAGCAGGATGAGCATTCTCTGGGTCCCTTCAATTAAGCAATATCATCTAAAGCCTCTTGTTATACCACCTACCTTATGGAACAAGAAAGCTGTCAAGCCCGAAATTGATGGGCAGCCTGTCAAGCTCGAAATTGACATATGTGTAGCCATTTTAGTTAGGCTCAGTATATATTTTCTTACTTTCTCTGTGGCAGTCATGGGGGGAAGAGTTTCGGGCTTGCCACATTCCTAAGGGGGGGAGGAGTGGAGATAGAGTTGTTTAGACTAGGTATTCTTCTTCCCATGGAAAAACAAGCTGTTCTGCTCAGGCCCCTTGAGGTGGAGATTTATGATATCAAGCAATGTTGAATTACTTCTCTTGGAGAATGTGACTTTTGGGGGTTGTTTCTAACTTCTAATATTGTGGGGTAATTCCGGGTTGTGTCAGATCCGGAATTACCATGGACTTTGCCAATTTGATGCTTTCCTAAATAAAAGAAATTGTCTTGGAAGATGGACTTTGTTTTATTCTTTTTAAATGGATTTCATCACTTGGAAACCTGACACAAGCTTGCTTAGTGTTCTGTAAGGCATTAAGGACTGGCTCTTTGCCAACAGTAGTCCTCTTATGAATAATGAATGCATTTAATGTATTATTTGGGCTTTGCTCCATGTGTGCAATGTTTTCCAATTTGTCTTTAATATCATTGTAGCTATTTTATTGACTGTTGGCAGCTCAGAGTCATGTCAACTTCTAGCCATATAAATCTATACAATAATGAAATATTTTAAAATAATATGGTTAAGAAAAATGTTATTAAAAGACAGATTTAATTCAACAATACAGACAAATACCTTGGTATGACCAGCAAATACTATCTTCAAATACTTCCAGTTATTTTTCTCCTGTAGGTCGAATCAACACTCAATCCATAAAATAGTAACGGGATATAAAGACTTTTCTTCCTCACATTGCCAAGGACACAAATTCAAAATTCAGATAAAGGGTGAATTAAAACTATTGGAGTAAGTCCATTTGAATAGCCAGGGAAGCTGGAAACAGTGGTTAATTGCCTCTTCAAAATAAATAGTTCATTTAAAGAGGAACTTCTGTTTCAAACCAGCTGCAAAGAAGATCCGTCTTCCACAGCCAGGATTATTTTTTTTTTAAATTAAAACACAATGTTTCAATTTCTGGTCTTCAAGATCTCTTCACCTATTGAAAAAAAGAAAAAAATCTTCCCCGATCTTTATTAACTGCATAGTAAAAATAAAGTAGCTATAAAGTCAGACATGTATATACACACATAAAGTTGCATATTATGTGTTTATACATGTAAAAATGTATAAGCAAGAGCAGTATTAATAATCTGCATTTCAACAAATCAATCTTCCATGTAATTAAATTTTTAGATGAATAGTTTATCATACAGTACAAACATAGATATATTCATACTGCATGTCAAACCTTACACATACATGTGCATTGTGAAAATTATTTTTTAGATTAAATGGATAAATCTTTTGTATAGTATTATTTGCAACTGCAAAGCAATATATTTGGCAGAATAACGTTAAGAAAATAAAGCATTTTATGTCCAACCTATTCATTTTTTTAAATAATTTTAATTTTGTTCTCTTGTTGTCAGTGCAACATTTCCCTGAAAAAAAAGGTGCTGCTTGAAAGGATGTCACTGAGCTAACATCCTAACAATGTTTTTACAGTCACACAGCAAATAAGGTGTGTAAATCAGAATTTATTCTTTCCAAATATAATTTTGCATATGTAATTTTAACGAATGTAGAATAGTAAGTTGGAAAGTTTTACTCCAGACAAAATAATTTGCCTTTGGATATTCATAGTATGATATTTCCCAAACTCTAAAAGAGTAGAGAGATGTTTTTTTAAAAAAATATATTGTCTGTGTTGAAATTCAACAATAGGAATTTAAGAAACAGCATCTGTAAAATTGCTTTTTATTTGCATTTCTTTTTTTATGCATAAACTTGTCTTGCTGGCACAAAATGATACTAGTACTCCAGATGGAAAAATCTGAATGAAGGAAAAAGGTTCTGTCAAATACATATTATTATTTCCATAATCATTCAATTTTAAACAAAATATGTATATTTTAAAAACAATAGATTTAACTGTCTTTAAATGGTAGAAAAAGTTGTCCTTTAGGTGCACAAAGTTTAGGTGCACATGTATCATAACAAGCAAAATTAAAATAATGTTGTTAGGAGCATTTCATTTTCATATACACTGAATAATTTGGGGAAAAGTATTATGGTACCTGTCCATTTAGTACATATCCTAAGCCATTTTGCATACCATTTGTTGCAAGTAATTTAAGAATATACCATCTTTCCAATTTGGGTAACAAATGACCTGTTACCCTGTGGATTAAGCCAGAACTATTGAACTGTTCCACTGCTGCATTAAAATCCCAACTGTTTTAAAGAATGTGAAAACAATTTTTTCTCCATCTTTTACTGCAAAAATAAATTTGTATCTCTGACAGCAGGGAAGTCAATTTCTGTATTTAAATTGCATTTTTAGCTGAGTAATTTTTAGTTGGTACAAAATCCTAAAGAGGGCCACTAACATTCTGGAGGGGAACTGCTATTTCTAGCAATATAAAGTGAATAATCTAAAGGCAGAAGCTCCCAGATTCTAATTTTTCTGCTCATTTCAAGTTGCTCCACTTGACTATGAAATATCAACAATTCGCATGTCCAGATGACACAGGATGTTTCTACCGTATGTTTACACAATTCTTTTAAGCTGTAAATATCGAAGAGAAAGCAGAGCTGAGGAGTAGAATTAAGCATGTCATCAGCTTAAAGACATTGCCACTAACGGGCAAAGTCCAATCCCTCTTGAATTCCATTGACCATTATCTGATGTCAATTTAATACCGAACTTTAGTTAATTAGATTCTTGTATATAGGCTTGAGCCTATAGACTTGACATATAGTCCTGATCCTTTGTGCCTAACTGTAAATACTCTATAGGGAATATTTTCAGCTACATTTTAAACTGTTCAAAACAGCCAAAATTAGAGCTATCATTTTGCTAATTAACTTGCCATTTCACAGCACTAATTTACATAACTGCCAAAGCTCTAAGTAAAATTTAATCAAAACTGTGAAAATATGATCTGACCTTATGTCTTGAGTGGAGAGATTTGTCTTGAAAGTACTGGTATCCAATTTCTCAGTTATCCCTACCAATATATAGGACAGTATTTATCAATGTAAGTTGTCTAAAACTGTTTTTATGCTTTGATAATTGTTGCAACTAATTAAGTCTTTCCTCAACTACTACACTTGCCAAGGGCAGCAAATCTTAACAGCGTTTTGATGGGGGAGATTTGATTACAATAATGTTTGCATATATGAAACACTACCTTTAATGTATGTTTGCTATGAAAGCCTTTTTGCAGGTCTTGGAGGGAAGAGCAATAGACTGATCAGAAATATCTAACCATCTCAAAGGGCTGAACAAGGCACATATGCAAGGATAGCACTAATCACTTATAAATTCCTTTTGTACTCTACCTTTTTATTCTATAAGAGACAGCCTATAAAATAGGCATATTTTCACACTAAGCTTTCAATTGATGAAATAACATAGAAAATAAAATGTAAATTCAGAATAAAATGAATTTTCTTTGCCCTGTAACTACATTACAGGCTTTTTTAATCACTACCAATACAAATATTAAGTAAAGTCCACTCTGGCTCACAAAAGTGCTTGATATTACATATTAGATAGCTTTTAAAATTCTATAGAATCTGCCTTATATGTTACAGCACACTGCCCTTCTAGAATGCAATTCCTGTTGGTGGTGTGTTCTATATGCCAGGAAAACAGGCAAAATAGGTCATCATGTTCAGGACTACTCATTTTGCTTGTTTTGTCACAGCTTTTTTGTTTAGACAGAGGCTATCTAGTGATAGCCAGCATTTTCTTTTTATATACCTTTGTAGCTAATCTAATGCCACTGTGCACTTGCTAACTAAATATCAAGCATGGAAAACTTCATTTAAGAAACAAGCAATTCCAGCAATATGGTTTTACCATATTACTTCTTATAAAAGAAAGTTCTTCCAGATATGGCCCAGCTTTCTTTTATAACAGCTCTGCAGTCTCCAGTTTGCTGCACTTACACTGCTACAGAAGGCAATGATAAAATACTTTCACACAGTTGTCAAAAAACCCTGCATGGATCTGTTCCTGTAGCTACCAGGCACCAAACTCACATTGAGGAAGAAAGTCAGATAAAGTGTACTACTCTGCTTATGCATATGTGGGTGGGTGGGTTGCAAGGATTTAAAAAAAAAAATACAGGAAATAAATCTATTAATCTACAGCAAATGCTAATAAATTACTACTTTCTATTAGATTAATAAACTGTTTTGGGTCTCTCTGTGCCAAACTGCATTCTAGAGAGAACTGCATTTTCTAATCCACTATAATTACTGTATCCTAGAAAAATTATTTTTTAAAAAAACTAGTAGGTATATTAATTACTTCCTAGATGCAAAACATCTTGATATCAAAGGACATCACTAGTGAAATGACATCTTGTGGAAGTATAATTATCCTAATATTAACCTTGCTATTCTAGCAAATCTCCAATGTCTCTATTACAATAAGCACTATTCTATTTTTTAAAAAATATGATTATCAAACAAGCACTGCCTATAAATAATCAGGTGAGGAATTTTCAAACCCCAAAATTCACAATGTTTGCTAGTTGTTGTTTTTCCCTCCAAACCCTTAAAGGACTAAGGAATGGGGTTAAAAACAATTATTTAACCAAAGAAAGATTAAAAGGGGCTGGCCTAGGAATACAGTGGTAATGCTGTACCGCTTACCTAAAAAATGTAAAAAAAGGGGGGGGGGGGGGGTTTCCAGGCGGGCTGGGCTGGGGAGCGGGAGAAGAGATTCTAAATAAATTAATAAATCAATAAAACATCAAAAGACCGTTTGCAGAAATTAGGAACTGGGCGTTAAACGGAAAGTTAAGGCGAGAACGTAAAGCAGAGCTCAGGAAAAGCCGGAAATAAACATAGGCCGAGGCCCAGACTCCGGGGCCTAGGGAGGAAAGCGTCCCTGACGAAAAAGAATTCCATAATTATACGCAAGGAAGCCGCTGGCCTTACATCGGACACAGGGAAGGGGACCCGGGTCTTTGTCACCCATGCGCAGGGACTTTACCGAACCCCGAGAATGTGACGACGACAGCAAACTCTCGGTTCCCGCAGCACCGCGCTTCGATCGTTTCTCTGAAAGGCGAAGATTAAACTCCCCGTCGTCGCCGTTAACGCTGCCCTCCTCTAAGATGGCACCTCTCCCTGACGCCCAGCAACTTGCCCGGAAGCAAGATGGCTAAAATTAGAGGGAGGGGAGGAAAGAGAGAGAAAAAAACCAGTTTCACCCACGTGACCTGTGATCTCTTCGCTCTCACCATTATGAACGAAACAACTAGCTAACACGTCACTTCCGGTCTGCACCGGAACCTCTTGAGCACGTCGGCGGGTCGGGAGCTGCGCGTGTGCGGGAAACGGAGGACGGTTTTCCCCCCCACTTTTTTTTGCTTTCTTTTTCTTTTCTTTTTTTTAAAAACAAAGGCTTCCCGGCGCTGTTCTTTTAAGTCCTCTCGTTTGCCTATCCTGACTGTCGGCCATGGCGTACCGCGGGCAAGGCCAGAAGGTGCAGAAAGTGATGGTGCAGCCTATCGTATCCTTCTTGTGGCAAGGGAGAGGAAACGGGCCCTCTTTGGGAAAGGGCGGGGCGAGGCCCGTGAGGGGATGGAGGCGAAGGGAGAGAGCGGGAGGCATTACGCCGAGAAAGTGGCACATTGCTTTGTTTTCTGGAAGCACTTTTTGGAAGGGTGGAAAGAGGTGGCTAAGCTGAAAGGCTTATTCCCTTGGTGACTCGGCCAGTCACGCGTGCTCGGGTAAGTTATGGTGAGACTAAAATAGGTTGGCTGAGAAAACCGCCTTGGATATATCTGGGATATGCTACTAGATGGAATACCCAAATATAATTAATCCGGTTGGGAATAGGATTAACGTGGCTAAAATCGATTCAGATAGCAACTGTTTAAGTTTAATTCTGCGGTGCCTCAGCCATCAAGACGCTTTCATTTTGTGGGAGTTCTTGTGGGTAAGAGACTTTGCGGTGCTTTCCCTATCCTGTTTACTTGGACAGTTGGAAGAAGAAATATTGAATTTCTGTCAGAATGAATGGGGGCACGCCTTTTTATGTATTTTTTTCCTAAATTTATTTGTGATAGAACCTCATTTTTCGCTACCTGCAGAATGTAAGTATACATAATTATATTTTCTCAAATTTAACAATATACTAGTATAATTACTGATATTTATGTACATTGAGAAGTTTTGTTTTCTTTGTATATATAATACAATCCCTCCTCCTTTAGCTCTAATAGGGAAGTGACCAATTAATGTGATTGAAGCAATTTTTGTAGATAGCTACAGTAAATACATTGTGCATTTCAGAAATATGAAAAAGTAGTAATTATCATTGTTGGAAACAAAAAATATTGAAAGCTCAAAAAGTTAAAAGCAGTAATAGTGAGTTCGAACTTAGTCTTTCAGTTTCTTTCAGAGTCTTTGCTTCTGATAAAATTATATGGTGTTGTAAATGGTTTTAAATTAAGATCTCCTTATTACACCTTGAATAAATAACTCTGCTTTAATAAGGATTTCACTGAAAAGTGGCAATGGAGAAGACTCAGTAAAATCAGGTTTTTTTTGGTGAGGTGGGAGAGTTTTACTGCAATTTCTAGGCACAAGACTTGGGCCATGCAAATAAGATTTTAAGCCTATGCAGAATTCCACAATGTCATGGTTTCTTTGCTGTTTACTTTGCAGAGATCCCGGATTCAGGTTTGGCTGTATGAACAAGTAAACATGCGGATAGAAGGCTGTATCATTGTAAGTAGCAATTGCTTTCACATACTTGTAAAGAAAAATGTAACTTAAATATGACAAAAATAAAGCATTTTGTTCTAAGTTTCTCATTGCAGCCTAAATGAAAACAATTAGTACAATAAGCATGTTTTTTTCTGAATCATCATCATTTGGAGTTAATTATGAAAAACCACTCATTCTAGTATTATCTGGACATTCTTGGGTTAACGGGAAAGCCTGCATCAGTATATTTTCAGGGGTGTTTAAAACTAGCCCAATTGTTAAGTACTAACTATTTTTGTCTGAATGTTTAGTTAAATCATTCACTTTTTTATTGCTGTTTCTGTTACTTGTTCATTCTATTTCATTTATGATGCATCATTTTATTGTGGGAATTTTGATAAAAGGACAAGATGGAGATATTTTAAAAACAAAGTAATCTGCCCCATTTGATGAATCTTAACCGAATCCACCATTCTTGCATCTTTACTACCATCCCTGATGTTGCTTCCTTCCATTAAATGTATTGTCACATTTCTCTGTTCTGGTTCACAGGGTTTTGATGAATATATGAATTTAGTTCTGGATGATGCTGAGGAAATTCATTCTAAAACAAAATCAAGAAAACAGCTGGGTAAGTGTAAGCTTTTTGGTAGTACTTATCAGACATCCTTTTTTGTTATTAGTAAAAAAAGCTTATTTAATTTTGTGAAAATCTATGATAGGAATTTCAATTTTGCATTTGAATATCAGTGAACAAGCCTCAAAGTAGGCTTGGAACTGCCATTTCACTGTTCAATATATTTAATTGGCATGTTACTTTAGGTGAATAGTATCAAAAACTGCTGAAAGTCAAGGGTAGCCAAAACATGAATACTAATCCCTCTTTCTTGCCAAATATTGTCCATTAAGAAAAATAGTACAATTTTCCTGTAAAACTAGGACAGGACTGAATATGGGAATTGTTTCCTAAAAATGTATTAAAATAATACCAGTATTTCTACACCATGACTGATAAGAACTGTGTATTTTTTTCCTACTGTAATTATATTTGCTTATATAGCATATCCTATTCTGAAATATTGGAATAGCTTTAAGTGAGAAATTTATGCTAAAATTGTGCTATGGGATATTTAAACTAGCTCATTATTTGGGAAAACTACAGATAGAATATTGTTAGAACAAATGCACAAATGCTTTAATGTATTACATTTTTAATCTTACTCTTTGCCTTTGCAGGTCGAATCATGTTAAAAGGAGACAATATTACTCTTCTGCAAAGTGTTTCCACCTAGAAAATACCTAGTGTTTCTGTTGTAGTATTAACGTTTAATCTTTTAAAAAATGTGCTAGCTTAATGCTATCATTTCTGATTTGGTATCTGAGGCAAGAATGAAGACAGCAACTTAATGCTTCTGTAATTTTCAATAACTTTTTTACACTGGTGTGTAACTATTTCTTAATAAATTAATTTTTTGTTAATATATTTACTTTATTACTATTTGGAGACAACTTTTGGAATGCAGATAATAAGAATAGCAGCAATAAACAGTTGTATTAGAAGATGCAATTGTTTAAAGAAAGTACTAGTCAAAGAATATATAGCTTGAGAAATCAGATCCTAGTTTATGTGAAAGGACTATGACGCTCTCCAAACAGAAAATTACATTAAGGTAATTCACATTGGCTGCCCTGCTTTGCTTTTGGAGGACGCTGTTCTACACAAGACATTAAAAGAACAGCTTGACAAGCAAAGTTAACATGGTAATACAGATTTCCTAGCTTTTTAGGTGAAAAGTTCCTTTCCTTAATTGCTGCTCTTTGCAAGTGATATCTTCAGAGAACTCTTCATTCCCCAGAATAAAAGGAGGAGTGACTTACTTCCTTGTGAGTATAGAGGTTTCTCAAGAAAGTTTTAAAAATAAAAGACAACCAATTTCCAGGTGTGAAATTACTGAGTAAACATGGAATTAATAATCACTGAGTGAACACAATTGCTAACAATAGTTTGGTAACCAAGCTCAGTGAGAATCCTTAAGAAACCTTAGGTCAATAGTAAAACTTGGTTGAAAGGGGAAATTACAGCTTTTCTATACTGTATGTGACTGCTTGAGAAATAGAAGTAAAGATGAACACTATATTTGAGACTATACGTAGCATGTTTCTGTTCTACTTGAAAACTATCTGAAATATTTATAGCAAGTGCAACCATATAGCAATTTCCGGAAAAAGTATAACTTTTGGAACTGCAAGTTACCATCCTTGTGAAAGAAAAAAAATATTTGACCAAATAAATAAACTACAATAGTAAATTAACAAGTATCTATCTACAAGGAATAGAAACAAAAAAGCAATTCCAGTTGTATATGCTAAAGCTGGTAAGGTGATAAATGATTCTTGGGTCATTAATTGGTTCACTAAATAGTTCACTAAATCTTTTGTATAATTGGAATTCCAGGAACTGAGACAAAGGTCACATGAGAAGCACCATCCCAGTCTGTAATACGATTCTGGCACAATCTTTGTTGAGAGGTTACAGGCTATGTATCTCTTGTTTCTTCAACTGTCAATGATCTATGAACATATTTTTGTCCTCAATAGCCCTGAAATGCAATCAGAAGTACAATCGTATGACCTATTAACAAAGCACAGCTAAAATTTCAGATTTCAGCAAAGGCCCTAAAATGTAAAAATACAGCAAAGACAAAATAATAGTAAATTTAATTAAAAAAATCAAGTCCTAATACCTATGAATATATAAAAAGTATCTGAAAATCAATAAACATCCAAACATAAAATGCACCAGTACACCAAAGTAATATTTCATTCAGATTCAGTAATTAGTTGTACCACTATGCTGTGAAACTCAAAAATTTCACATTGCTCATTAGGAAAAAAGTTAAGTGAAAATAAAACTGCCACCTATACAAGTGTACAATTCTAAACTGAAATAAACCAAATCAAAACAATTTTGATCACCTCACTTCAAAGTGCAACTACTGGTAATTTACTATGAGAAAATATGTAGATCATTTGAATTTAGAAAAAAACAAGCTAAATATCTCAAATGTAATGCATGGAATATAAAAAGGGGAATAGAGGAAAGTTATATTAAACTGCAGTCATTCAAGCAAGTGTAATGAATAGATGGCTGAACAAAGGCATATTTTTTAATCCAGTATTTATATGGTGAAAATAAATTCAGGAAAATGCAATAGTTTTCACCTTAGAACACTTAAATAAAATTAGACTAATCAATAAAGAATAAGGTTATTAGTATTTCTAGTCTTGGCCATATATTACCTGCAAGATTAGGAGCAATCAGGTAATTGACTACCAGCTGCTAGAACATATGAACAAGAAATTGATGTAACATTTTGGAAATCCCTTCTAAGTAGTGGAGTTTCTTTCTGTCTGGCTGTCTGTCTGTCTTTC